TATAAGCTCCGCCCTTTACACCTGGCAGTCAGTATAGAAAGAGCCGCCTCCATCTTAGCTCCCTGTCAATCATTGTTATAAGCTCCGCCCTTTACACCTGGCAGTCAGTATAGAGAGGGCCACCTCCATCTTGGTGCCTTGTCAATCATTGTTATAAGCACCGCCCTTTACACCGGGCAGTCAGTATAGAGAGAGCCACCTCCATCTTAGCTCCCTGTCAATCATTGTTATAAGCTCCGCCCTTTACACCTTGCAGTCAGTATAGAGAGAGCTGCCACCATCTTAGCTCCCCTGTCAATCATTGTTATAAGCTCCGCCCTTTACACCTGGCAGTCAGTATAGAGAGAGCCGCCTCCATCTTAGCTCCCTGTCAGTCATTGTTATAAGCTCCGCCCTTTACACCTGGCAGTCAGTATAGAGAGAGCCGCCTCCATCTTAGCTCCCTGTCAATCATTGTTATAAGCTCCACCCTTTACACCTGGCTGTCAGTATAGAGAGGGCCGCCTCCATCTTAGCTCCCTGTCAATCATTGTTATAAGCTCCGCCCTTTACACCTGGCAGTCAGTATAGAGAGGGCCGCCTCCATCTTAGCTCCCTGTCAGTCATTGTTATAAGCTCCGCCCATTACACCTGGCAGTCAGTATGGGGGCAGCCTCCATCTTAGCTCCCTGTCAATCATTGTAAGCTCGCCCTTTACACTGTGATCCGGTATAGAGAGCCGCCTCCATCTTAGCTCCCCTGTCAATCATTGTTATAAGCTCCTCCTTTACACCTGGCAGTCAGTATAGAGAGCCGCCCTCCATCTTAGCTCCCTGTCAATCCATTGTTTATAAACTCCAGCCCTTTACACCCTGGCAGTCAGTATAGAGAGCCGCCTCCATCTTAGCTCCCTGTCAATCATTATTTATAAGCTCAAAAGCCCTTTACACCTGGCAGTCAGTATAGAGAGAGCCGTCTCCATCTTAGCTCCTGTCAGTCATTGTTATGAGCTCCGCCCATTACACCTGGCAGTCAGTATAGAGAGAGCCACCTCCATCTTAGCTCCCTGTCAATCATTGTTATAAACTCCGCCCTTTACACCTGGCAGTCAGTATAGAGAGAGCCGCCTCCATCTTAGCTCCCTGTCAATCATTGTTATAAGCTCCGCCCTTTACACCTGGCAGTCAGTATAGAGAGCCGCCTCCATCTTAGCTCTCTGTCAATCATTGTTATAAGCTCCGCCCTTTACACCTGGCAGTCAGTATAGAGAGAGCCGCCTCCATCTTAGCTCCCTGTCAATCATTGTTATAAGCTCCGCCCTTTACACCTGGCAGTCAGTATAGAGAGAGCCGCCTCCATCTTAGCTCCTGTCAATCATTGTTATAAGCTCCGCCCTTTACACCTGGCAGTCAGTATAGATAGAGCCGCCTCCATCTTAGCTCCCTGTCAATCATTGTTATAAGCTCCGCCCTTTACACCTGGCAGTCAGTATAGAGAGAGCCGCCTCCATCTTAGCTCCTGTCAATCATTGTTATAAGCTCCGCCCTTTACACCTGGCAGTCAGTATAGAGAGAGCCGCCTCCATCTTATCTCCCTGTCAGTCATTGTTATAAGCTCCGTCCTTTACACCTGGCAGTCAGTATAGAGAGCCGCCTCCATCTTAGCTCCCTGTCAATCATTGTTATAAGCTCCGCCCATTACACCTGGCAGTCAGTATAGAGAGAGCCACCTCCATCTTAGCTCCCTGTCAATCATTGTTATAAGCTCCGCCCTTTACACCAGGCAGTCAGTATAGAGAGAGCCACCTCCATCTTAGCTCCCTGTCAATCATTGTTATAAGCTCTGCCCTTTACACCTGGCAGTCAGTATAGAGAGCCACCTCCATCTTAGCTCCCTGTCAATCATTGTTATAAGCTCCACCCTTTACACATGGCAGTCAGTATAGAGAGGAGAAATTTAAGCTTGTTTTTCCTCTTTATTTCCAGTGTTTGCGTCTAAACCCAATTTATATCATTGACTAAATCTTTTAATCTAAATTTAAAAGAAAACAGTATTCCGGGAACTACGGCTACCACAGTCCCCTGTAATGGTAGTTATGCCTGGAATACCTTGGCCTGCTTATGGGTTAAAGCATTCGGTAACGGTTTGCCCTCCTGCATGGGTACCAGACAGGCTGCGAGGCTCCTCTCCTACTGGGTGACACTTCCAGCTTCAAAGAGCAATATCCGATTGACCCAGTCAGTGCTTTCTTAACCTGGGGGCATGCCACGGAGCTGCAGTGGTTCTGGTGCAGGAAATGTTCATTTAGGTGGATTCTTTTTAATATTTTACATTATCAACAAGTGACAGCTACTGGGTTCCAGTAAAAGCCATTACAGTAATACAAACCCCACCTCATCTTTCTGGCAATTTTCCTCTCTGTGACAGCTCACATACACAATGCCGTGCATAGGCAATCAAGAGTTAGTTTCCATACATAGCCATGCATGTAAATAGCAGCGTTTTCAAACATTTTAGTATAACCTTTTTATTCTTTATGGTCTGTGGGAATTCAGTCTGCTGCTGGTGCTTTAGGTAGCTGTAGTATTACATGTTCATACATAATGGTATGTAAGAACTCAGACACAAGACTGACCATTAACCGTGTAAACAGGGGGCCTGCTATGCCTCTGGTCATTACCCCGTCAGACAACGTCAATACTAAGGAAAAAGGGGAAGGCTTGCAAAAAAGCTGCAGACAAGAAATCCACAGCTATCACTTTTTTTTCATTGGGGATAATATATTATCCCCAATATATAAAAAATTAACAAAAACTTGTATTTCAATGGAGCATGTTCTTTTAAATGTCTTATTACATCAGGTATTAAAGGGACAATATAGTCACCAGAACAACAATAGCTTATTGAATTTGTTCTGGTGAGTAGAATCATTACCTTCAGGCTTTTTGTTGTAAACACTGTCTTTTCAGAGAAAATGCAGTGTTTACATTACAGCTAGTGATAACTTCACTGGCCACTCCTCAGATAGCT